TGATTGACAAAAACAGCTGCAGTTTTCTCATTTTCCCAACATAAAGTCTTAGTGTAAAACTGTGKYAYGAAAAACAGCAGGTTGTAGATTYATGGATACAAATGACTTCAGTAAAAAAAGGATTGGGATGTTCTGCACTACTTTACTGTGAATCACAGTATTACAACAAGCATGTAGATCCTACCAGTTTTGTCCACATCCAGGTTAGGGCTGTAGTCCCACAACATTGGCTGCACCAGTCCCACCAGACCGCTCGCTGACACACAGATAAAACACTAAAGATGATTGATTGTAGCATTTCAAGTGTCAGTGGCAGGTGAGTTTTCTCCTGACCTTTTATTGTGTCCTGACTCATGCCTCTCATCATATCGTCCCACATGATGATGGTCAAGTGAGGACACATCTCCTTTATAGCCTTGGCCACTTTGGTCACGTGACTGAGGAAGAGTTCCTCCACTGTGTGTCCTGATGAAGCCAGCCAGAGCTTTGATTCCTCCCCCTCACCCAGAAGGTACACCTCATGTGGAGAAGAAAGTATCTTTAAAGCTSTAAGGCTTAGAAACCCTTAGCAAAAAGGTCCGTTCTTACCTCATCTGCTCCCATGTGTATGGTCCTGAGACCAGGATGCAGAGCTACCACCTGCCTCAGCATCTCCAGCACCAGCTCCACCCCCTCCTGTTTGTGGGGATTCAGGGTGCCCACACAGTGYGGGACCTCTCTGAGGTGCCACATGGAGCGATGTTTCAACACAAACTGACACAGAAGAGAGGGGACAGGCATCAGAGTTCAGAACAGAGATTTTATATCATCAAACCAACAAAGAGAAGTAAGAGTCAAACACACCTCCATGTGACCGAAGGTCTGCACCAGGGGGATAACCTCCATACCTCTKGATTTGGCAAACTCCTGCATAGACAACACTTCCTGTCGGCTGAAACCAGACCAGACAGTAAACATCCAGCATCATGACTTATATCATCCAAATCATGTGAAGAAAACAACACAGCCTACAA